GCGCACGTGAACGACACGTGCGTGCGTCCATTCGTCGCTATGGCAACTGAAGCCTCTCTCTTCGCTTCTCCCCGCTCCTTCGAGCAACCTCCTTGCCCCACGAGTGCCGCTTGCGACTAGCGCCGTCAGCGCCGTTATCTAGTGTCGCACAGGGAAGCGTGCTCGCTGCGCGGGTCGTTCCAAAAACCGTGCTATAACCGGTATTTCCCTTCGTGCGCTTGCATTTTAAGTAGTATGTAATTACATGGAGTTCTATGGGAGGCAACCGGTGGTTTAAAAAAAACGCGTTATACCCGGTCCTGCACTATAAGTAGTTACGTTGTAAGTTTTCTATACTGTAATCTGAAGTAAGAAAAAACACATGTGGTTAGGTGGCGCTAGTCACTGTCCAACTGCCGCTAAGCATCCATTCCTCCGTCCATCTATCCTGTTTTAAAGAGCTTAGATTTAAAAGAAGGAGCAAGCGAAACTGAAACTACGAAGACGGCTCCTGCGCACATTGGTCGTAAGTGTGCATGTATTGTATTCTAGCGTAGAAAGAAGGTGAGCGCGAGCAAACGTAAGAGCCTCAGCGCCTGCCCGATCAACGCTTTCGTCTTTTCATCACCTTTTCGCAGTTCGTAATTCAAATGCGGCTATCAAACGGTTGGAAACCCTCTCAAATCTAGGCACACTATTTTTTCGTTCCGTTTCATTCCGAATCAGAATTTGCGGCTTGCGGTTCCAAAAGAACGACGATGATAACTCGGCTGGTTTCATCGGCGTGTTCAATGCAGTTTTTCTTTCTGTGATCGTGCAGTCGCTGATTTCTGTGAGTGCGGCAAGTGTGTTCTACATCGGCGCTTCGATTTGAAACGAGGGGCTTTACTCGTGAAAAGAAGTAGGCATGGTGCGGAATTCCGGCTTCCCAACAATTCCTCTCTGGAAGCGGCGCAAACGGGATGTTTCGGTTGTGATTCAAGGGTAGATTGTGTCACGACCATGAGTAAATCTGTGTGCTATAAAGTTTGTGGCGTTCCTTACTTTTCTTTTTTCTAACCTGTGCTTTAGATTTTTGTGGAATGGTAGGACCAAGAGGTGTTTCTCGCATGGTTTGTCGAACATCATGGTGCTAACATCGGGAGAAAAAACGGGTTTTTTGTCTGCTCCGCGCCGACTGCGCGTCTTTGGCCGAATAAATCAAATATTCGAATGACCGAATACTAGGAATTCGATTCGCGAATCGAATTATTTGGGAACTTTCTATTCGATTCGAATTTGTATATTCGAATATTCGCACACCCCTAAAGAAGGGTATTTGCATGTCGTTTTTCTGTTTCTTAGTGGTGCATTCATATTCAAAACACATTTGATATTGGAAGCTTTTGTTTTTTTAATATTCATATTCGATTCGTATTAGAACATTTCAATATTCGCACAACCCTAGAAAATATTTTTCTATCTGAAAGGTTAAGGGGGACGCGGCAAATAAAACGGCAAATTTTGTCCAAATATTCGATTTTTCAGTTGTTTTTTTTTGGGGGGGGGATCCTCGGGTCTTCGTTTTGACTATCGTGAGTTATGAAACTGAAACAAGCGCTATAAAAAAAGAACTGACTGTTTTTATAACGCGTTGACATAAAAAATTGCGAGAAAATTGCACCTCAGGAGCTCACTTTGTACAGCAGCTAGTCCGCGGCCCGCTTGACTGAGCGGCGCCATCTTGCTATTGCCGCAGAGAGGATGAATTCAGCTTCTATAGCCGCGGTGCCGTATTTTTCCAGGAAACAACAAGAGCGCTCGATGCAAACAAAAAAACAACAAAATGAGGAAGGCGATTGGCCGCTTGAGTCACGTGGTAGGAGAGAGGCTCTCCGTCTGGCTGACGCGTATCCACACAGTGGCACAGCCGGCGCCGCGTGCGCCCGTGGAGCGGCTTTGGGTAGAAGGAGCTTGTTTTGTCGTCTGCTGCGGCGTCGCTCCTTTGATTTCAGCTTGCAAGTAGTTTCGTTTCACGCAAAAGAAGTTTTTTTTTCCGCCTCGTTGCTTCACTTTACATTCAAGTTGTATTAGGGAAGTCATCACGTGTGGTTGAGCTCGAGGTTAAAGACTTTTTAATCATTTTGCGACATTTTTTTTTTTTTGCTGTTTGGAGTGGTTTTTGTTTTGACAAAAGCGCGACTCACATTTTCTCGCGTTGACATTTTCACGCCTTTGACCACTTCTGGCACGGCAAGTTGTGTCAGATAGTTGTGCACCCTCATGAACCCCAAGGGAAAAAAGTTTTGGACAGTCCACAAGTATGGGAGATGCCAGAAAGCGTGGAATAAGAGCGTGAAGCTACCAGTGGCGGCGGTAATCTCCGACGACACCGATCTTCCCGAAACGGCTACGTGATCTCCTCTTCTAAACACTTTGAAACCAACATCACCTCGTCGAATGGTGCAAGTGCAGACACTAAGGTGTCTGCTTGCGCGTCCAACATACAGTTGCTCATTTCGGCTCCAGCTGCGAGTAGCGATGAAATCGCACGACGAGAGAAAAAAAAAGTCGACGTGCTAGATGCTTTGTCGTCAACTTCAGCCACGAAGCGTAAATTCGAGCTCTTGAACCACGCCAGTGACGACAGTGACAACGACGTGGCTGCCAAACCGTCGCTTTTTTTAGTGAACAAAAAGTTGCTCAACGATCTGCTTTCTTCTGCCAACTGCAGCCAGTGCGGAATGACATCACTTTGGGTGGAGACCGCCAACTGCCTGGGTCTTGCAACAAAGATGCAACTCTTTTGCGATGTGTGTGGTATCATAAACAGTGAGTGGTCATCCCCAAGATGCGATGGAGCACAGAAGGTGACCCCTTTTGAAGTCAATATGCGTGCTCTGAGGGCCGTGCAGTCCATTGGGGAAAAAGCAAACTGCAATTAACGCCACCTTCTCCCAGATGGATATCTCCCACCGAGGGCTTCACCATAAGTCCTACCAGAGGCTGCAAAAGAAGTACAGCCACCCTGCTGCTAGATCAGCAGCCACAGCGATCGAGGCAGAAAGGGCACAGAAGGGATCTACGGGGAGCTAGGCGGTGCACCGGGAAACATTGACGTCATGTATGATGGAACATAATTGACTAGAGGACACAAGAGCCATGTTGGCGTGGGGTGCGTGATTGAACTGGGCCTGGTCTTGAAGCTCTGTGTCCTATCTAACTACTGCCACGGCTGTTCCTTTGGCCCCGAGCCTGGTGACAGCCGATACCCGCAGTGGCTCCAGGAGCACAAGCCTGAATGCCAAAAGAACACCCATGTGCACTCCGGACAGATGGAAGTGGTGGCAGCCAAGACAGTGTTTGAGCGGTCGCACTTGAAGCACAAACTTCGCTACACAAATGTACTTTGTGATGGAGAAGGCCGCACATTCACTGCCCTCAACGAGAACAGAGTGTATGCGTTTATACCCATCAAGAGACAAAAGTGCGTAAACCATGTGAAAAAGAGAAATGGCACGGCTCTACGAAACCTGGTCGAAAAGAATAAGAGCAAAGATTGTGAGCTCAGCATGAGTGGGAAAGGACAACTGACACAGGGCCTGATTAAAAGACTAACTATTATGGCTGGGCTATCAAGAGCCATCCCAATGATGTCCGTGGCATGGAGAAGGCCATCGTGGCTACATACTACCACGTTACATCAAGTTATGAAGAGCCACATCACGAGCTCTGTCCCATCGGGACAGACTTGTGGTGCACATTCAACTGTGCAGCAGCCAAGGGAGAGGCAGCCCCTCCACACAAGCACAAGCTCCCAGCGCATGTTCAGGCAGCGCTCCTGCTGATCTACAATTGCGTCTCAGCAAAGGCAGCTCCTTGAAAGGTGCCAGCAGGGCAAAACTCAAAATGCCCTCGAGAGTCTAAGCAACGTCATGTGGACCATCCAGTCCAAGAGGAGTCAGTTCACCTCTCTCATGAGTGTTGAGAGTGCTGTTGCAGAGGCACTCTGCAGGTTTAGTAGTGGATGAAGGAAGGCCCTGCAAGCCATCACCTGTCAACTGGGGTTCAATCCGGGCTCGTGCTCTCTGCGACGAGCAGCCAAAAAGGACGCACGGCGGATCAAGAAGGCCGACGGAGTGCATGGTGCAGCTTCAAAAAAACTGAAGACAGCGGCAAGGCACCATCCGAGCATGCCTTCCACATCAAAGGACTGCTGCCCAGGTGGATTCTAGGTGTCCCACGTCTGTGCCGCATTGGACAGAACAAAAATACTTTCGCATAATTTTCCCCAAGTTCTATATGTTAGGCAACTGTCTTGACCCAACCCTCCGGCATTTCTTGAACAATGATGATAGAATGCTTCTGTCTTTTGCATATAATACCCGAGACTTGGAGCAGTGCTATAAAGCTATCAATTTGCATGTGTCTTCAGTAAAAATTTTGTAATTAATATTTATTTTTAAATGGTTTGCATGTATAATTTTTTTTTCTACATTTACTGAGATTGCAAAAATAAACTAACAGCTTCTTTGCACAGAATGGGTCTTTGTTTAATTAACTAATTTTGGGATAAATTTTTGAGTATACTTAATCTCATAACTTGGGAAGTATAAAAGGTATCCTTAAAGTAGTTGCTGTTTTGAGATTGCCATAATTACCTACATATATGTACAAGATTTCATTCAATTTGGTGCATAAATAGCGAATATATTTTTAATTCCCACGTTCCACCTTAAGACCAGTGCATCTCACAAATTGACAGGATGGCTCTAATTATTTTAATAATAAAAGCGTCGTCTGAGCAAAAACAGGGGCGGCCTCTAGGGGGGAAGGGAGGGGGAAAGACCCTTGCCGTGAGCGTGGATCAATGGGGAGAAAGAGAGCACCGCCTCTGCTGTAAAGTGGAGATCATTCATGAGCATTCTTTTGTCGGGAAAGGGCAGCTGCCACCGTAATAAAAAATGTTTCATGCACCCTTTAAAAAGCGGCAATTTTCCTCACGGTAAGGAAGAGTAAACGAAACTGCTCGTCTGCTGCAGAAAAACTTGGAGGACGTGAGCAACTTCGACGAGGAGTTCACGTCGGAGCGTGCGGTGCTGACCGCCCCCAAGGACCCCCGACCGCTCACGGCGGAGGAGCAGAACCACTTCAGAGACTTCACCTACGTGGGCGGCTGGTGCTAGGCCCCCCGCCTCTGCCCCGGAGTTGCCCAAAGGTTGCTCCGAAGTTGCCCGGGAGTCGCTCCGGGACTGCTCGTCTGTGTTCCCTGTTCTGTGGTAGAAAGGTCACACCCTCACCGGTTAGGATTCTCGAGCGTCTTTGCGGAGTCTACTCTGGACCCGAGAGTGCAAAGTGTCTCCGGGAGTGAAGTCGGGCATGCAATAAACCCCGCCGGTGAGCTGCGCGACAAAGAGATCCGCGGAGGCTCTCAAAGATGTCCCCGCAAGCTCTCTTTGTCCCACCCAAATTGGAAGAGGAAGGATTAGGGACAAGAGGTTCTTTTTCACCCGTTCTTTGGGCCCAGCACGAACCAAGATCTCAGTAGTGACTAACAACATATACTTGCGGCATTTACGAGTAGGCTGCTCGCAAACGCTGCCAGTGTCTCGAATGTTACTGCTTTGCCGTTTTGTTTTGCTGTCCATATTTTGATGTGAGCCGGACGTAAAGAGCAGTTTCTGAAGAAAATCTCAAACAGTGGTTGATTCGCACAGACTGTTCTTTACTGTACCTACCGTATCTATGTGATCGTAAGTGCTTCTCTGTCCAGATTTAGAAAGGAAAAAGCATCTTTGGGGGTTGGTGAACGTAACCGTGCATCAGATATAAGTACCACTTACGTAAAGCGTGCTTTCTCGGAATAGCGCATAAGCAGGATTGTAGCCGGAAAGGGGCTTTTTGTTTAAATGTTTAGTCCGGACAGTTTTTGCTCTAATTGGTCCACCTCCTAAAGCCAGCGTGGTTCGATGCCCATCAGGCTTCGTCTAGTTTATTCCACGCCCCCCGATCTTTCAGGGACGGGTCAGTTGAGCCTCTATCGGGGCAGCACCTTCGTTTAGGACACGGTGACGACTTCGGCGAACAAAGCACGTGTCGGGACAATAATAATCTCGAGCACTCGTTAGATTCGGGTTAGTTAAGGCGGAGCTTTGCTGTATCAAGAGCACTCGATGTCTGCACCAAAGGAAGGGCGTTAGTGGGAACTCCGGATCTGGGATTTGCCCCAAACGGGGGGGTGTCGGTAAGGTGTCAATTGTAACGCAGACGGTGCAAGGGAACGCCCAATCAGGGGCCTTGGAAACGACGCACACTTTGTTTTGTGGACGCGCGAACATCGAGGGTCATTGCCATGCGGCGTGCAGACGGCTAGAGTTCGTGAGCATGTCTAGCGACCTCTTCGCGACCAAACCAACGTCTGGGGCAATCAGCCTCCCTAGCTTGAACGGGAATCTCGGCAGCCCTTTTCCCCGCCGGCACTTCCGCAACTGAAGCCAATTCCCCGCGCACCCGTAGATGCGACACGTGCGCGGGGAAACCTGCCTTTTTGGAGCGAGGGCTCGCTGAAATCGTGTACGCAGTACAAACGGTTCTCTCCTCAAACTGTCGTTTTGCTCACGCCGCGGAACAAAATAAGAACGTGCCTTTTTAATATTTTTTTTTATTTTTCCTCGCGGAAGTTGTGCTCAAAGAAGAGAAGCGGCGTTTTTTTTTTTGGGGGGTCTTCTCGGAGGCGCTGCGTCGAGCCGGTAGACGACCGACTGCTGTCGAGTCCCGAAGTGGCGTTCTCTAAATCGGCCCTAGGTTGTTTTAGAGAACGGCGTTTTGTAAAACGGAGTTCTCTAAAACGGCCCGACCAGTAGTGACCCAAGGTCGGGGGGTGCGCGACCTTGTCGAGTGCACGCTCACTTCGCAAGTATGCGGCACACCAATACTCAAGCACGCGTTGGAATAATAAGCGGCGACGGGAGACGTGGAAAGCACGCCCTTTCTTTGCGCACGGAACGGTGCCTAGTGCCGTGCACTTAATCGTCTGTGCCTGCACGCTACCCAAGCGCTCCATTTGTTTTCTTTGGTGCGGTAGTTTGCGTCGTCCCCCACTGCTACGAGTTTGCTGTTGGGTGAGCCTGGCACGTAGTGTCTTCTCATTCATTTGCATGTATGTTGTTTTTTTAGATTTCTTTAACACTATTTATACATCATTTTCTTCCATATCGAGGTCCTTCTTTTTTTCTTTTTCACCCTCACTTGCGTCGTGATTTTTCTTTTTTTTTTCCCCGGAGAAAGTGCCCTGTTGTACGACTTGGTGCATTTTGTAAGGGGGGACGCAGATGTTGTACTTAGGTGTTGATGCTTCATTTGTCTTTAATATGTTTCCTCTATGTCAGGAGTTGCTGCTTGTTTGCATTTTTTTAGTGTGTGGATGCTCTTTTAGACATTCTTGCAATTGAATTTGCGCTCTCCGTTGTCTCTAGTATGTTTCGAGGTTTGCAGAAGTGTTGTTTGAAGAGTGTAGACGACTCATGGAAATCATCTAAAAAGGCACAAGCTGGCCAGCTTTCCTGCCTTCACTTTTTTTTTGACAAGTTTTTTTTAGCAAACTTGCAAGTTTTGGAGCTCTGTTTTTGCTACCACCACTGATCACTAATGTTATGCATGAGAAGGATCTCCCTTTGCCGCAGGAGTAGCATGTTCCGAGATGGGAGATCTTGCGCAGAGTCGACTGGCATTAGTTTTCGGTCGCTGGCACATGTTGACGCATTTATCTCTATGGGAATTTGCACGGCGATTAATCAAGTGCCGACTCCCAGTTTTTCTCAAGTCGGAAGAGCGACTAAGCTGCGTATTTTCTACTGGATTCAGAACGGACGTCTCTTTACAAGGTTCGTGGGACACTATTTTTGATAATGTGTCGTTTTCCTTTCTTCCCATTTTTTTTTAAAAATCCGGGTGGTGTCAATTTTACCAGAAAAAAAATAAACAGGTGCCAACATTCTTTTTTTGTAACAGCTCTTTTAATTGGGCTTTCTCAGTGTTTTTATGACCGCACATTTTTTTTTTTTTGGAACGGAGCAGTTGCATGTTTTGTGGAAGTGCGGTGTACTGTACAGATCTCTGGGAAACGCTGGAACAAATGTTTGCGGAGACGATTGCACGAAGTTGCAGGTCCCGTAGGGCAGGCTCTGTTGATTGCCGGTCTTCCGTTTTATGACAGGATGCTAGGTGTATTTGTATATATGTTCGATTGTACTGTTACTAAATAAATTAATTCATTTCACTCCTGCGGTCTTGTCTCTTCTGCTGTCAAACTTTTTCCTTTTTGCTGGCATATGTCTGGAAGGAAGCCAGAGGAAAAAGTATGCGAGTCTTCACGAGGCTACTCAAATGTTTGCTTAAAGGGGTAGTGAAACGAAATTTTAACGCCGATCTTGTTGCATAAATATGGGCTAGGGACAGGCACCACCTCGGAAATATAAATATTGCGCTGTAAAACACAGGAGAACTAATTTTAAACATAATTAAACGATTTCAAATTCTCATCTGGTGGATGGGGGGAAGTTCTCGTGACATCACTTGTGCCAAAATAGCAGCGCCGTTCTGCGGCAATACGGCGTGCCGGCAGAATTCGCCTAGGCCTGAACGCGTTCGCAAAGCCTTGGCGGAGAAAGCCAAAGCGTAGTTGGCCATAGTGAGCTCGTTCTCGTTGCGGCTCTTTGCACGACACGGCCCGAGCATGCTTCTGGCACGGCCGGTATTAGTTGCTGCGAGTCGCGAGCTGCAAGCCGACGTTAAAAAGGATATGTTTGAACTACGAGGGTGTCAGCAAGAGCCACGCAAATGCCAAATACCTGTTCACACTCGGAGCGGACACGCGCGTTTGATCGAAGTGCTGGATTCGCTCTGTTAGACCGCGTTTCGGTAAGCGCTTCTGGACCGATCTTTTACGATTGCAACTCGATACTGACATGACACTCGGCAAAGAAAGGTTAGACCGACATCGCGTAGCTCCCACGAACTGCTATAGCTCGACACTGACGTAGCGTCGAGTCAGAATAAAAATGGCATACTAATAACAGAGTGTACATACCGAGTTGCCAAGGTAATCCATATGGCGTTTATTTGAGCTCTATATCACACAAAACAAGGAGATAGAATCAATGAGAGTCCCTTTTCGACGACAGCGTTCGTCACCGCTGTCTCGGAAAACAAGGAGATCGAGATGACAAGGGGAAAATATTGACCTCTGAAATTTAGTTCAGGGATCAAACTACTCATCCGGTAGGGGTCCACAAGGGTCGCGCGGGCATATTCCATTCAGCAGGCCAGCCGGTCATGGACAGACGGTCTTGGCCAAGGACCGCCGGAGCAACGGTGCGTCGAGTCGATGTTGCTGCTAGGCCTACTATATTCTGCCGAGCTCGCTCGGTCGGCAGAATCGTGGCTGTTGTAGCTCTTCTCCTGTGTTTGTGGATCCTGCGTTCTTGATCGTCGTGGTCTGTTTTAAGTACTCCTTCCTTTTTTCTTGCTGGTTGAAGTCGGGACGCACGAGAAGAGCACGAAGAAAAATAAATGTCCGTTGGTGGCCGATACCAAGTAACTGAGCGACGCTGTCGGCCTTGTTGATTTGATCGTAAAGAGTGCGTAATACCCTAGTTACACGGGCGCTTTCAACTGCCATTGAGTCAACGACAGTTGACTCAATCGCGATCGGCCGGAGTTACACGGCGGCGCCAACTGTCATCGAGCCGCTAATGACAGTTGAGTTCAACTGAGCTCCCCTACCTCAGTTCAACCAGCCAGGATCGCTAGGTTGGACATTTGAGAAAAGGTACATGGAAGTGACGTAATGCAAAGGAGGAGCGTATCCTAGCAACACTCACGTGGCGGCTCTGCCCACTTTGACGCCGCTACGTCATCGCAAACTTGACACCCGTCACCCGTTTCAGCGACGTCCGGAGCCAACCACCGACGAGCGGAAGTAGCTACGCATTCCCTGAGGCGTCCCTACGCGCGGGATACGGGGTAGGATTTACTACGACGCGGGGAGCAGTTCCTGCGTTTAGCGAAGGAACGGCAACCAATCCTGTGCGTCGCTGGCCGTCGCATCTGTTCTAGTACAGGTAACAGTATTGAAAAACAATCAAAACCTTTTGGGCGTTGTTAAAACAAACCGCTTTTTTGTACCCTTTTGCAATACATTTAAGAATTAATTGGAGAGAAAGTTGTTCCAATATTATGCGGGATGTGCGCTACGCGCCTTCTTCAAACCAAAATGTCGAACCACGAGGAGCCGGGTGTGCCGGGGGCAGCGGAGGGGTCGGCGGAACCAACGGGGAGCGCGCGAGTGACGGCTGCTGAAGTCAGAAACAATTTTTTTATCTTTCGAGAACTTGCTATTGCTGTGCTCAAATAAGAATGTTTGGCGCAACATCTGTGATTATTCTTTCAAAGTGGTCCAGTGTTTATATGGTGGTATGCTAGTCAGAGAATATATATATATTTTTTTTTTCCTTTCGAAATTTAACTATTGTGCTCAAATAAGACCAGAGTGTTCAACAAGATATCTGTGATATATACTTAAGATTGCCCAATTGCTTACATGGTTCCAGTCGATGCTCAGTTTTACTTCCAAGAATGAAATATTACATTCCATGTTATCACACTTTTATTCATGAAGTCACAGGTTTTTCTTTAAGAAATAAAGCAATTTTCAAAACAAACTACATGTGCACTGTCTTGAGATAACACAATCACCTAACTTTGATGAAGTACCATAAAAGAGATAACAAAATGGAGCAGAAGGCAAGACGCTTTGAAGCATTTGTAAAATGAAACAATGTCCATGACAACAATATCCCTGGTTCGATCAGCAACTAAGAAAGCAATCTCTGCAAGAGCAAGCATTTCTTTCTAGAGGTAGTCTAAATTACTTCTGAGTTCTTTGCAGGGGCAATCCAGATGACCTGTTGGTCTGGCAACTAAACCTCCGAACCTTTTCTGTCACTGTCGACTGCGTCTCGTGCCTTCTGCTCATAAAAATAAAAAAAAGGCTGTATCGATTTCACCGCGATGCACTCGACACGTATCCGGAGGCAGCACGCTGGCTGTGCGACGAACTTCACAAGGTGTAGGAGCTGAAGAGAGTATGTAGCTTGTGGACGGCCATGACTGTGGAGCAGGAAGCGAAGTGTGCACTTTACGGCTTCCACGGGGAGGGCTTCACTGAGGGCAAGAATGTGACGGGGTCCTTGGTGGTCAGGACCTCAGTCGTGGTGGCGAGAGGTTCCCTGTCGCTGGCGGCGTCCGTGCTGGGCACCACCGCAGCGAGGGCGCTGAGGGGCTTCCCGACGGAGTCCCTGGTGGTCGGGACTACCGTCGTGGCGGCGGACCCCTTGCGTGTGGCGCTCCGCACGGGCACGTCTGCGGCGGGTTCCGAACCAGGCGACAAGGCGCTGCCTCAGAGCCTTCCCCCTGTCCGAGAGGCCGACCGGAAGGCCGACCGGAGGGCCGGCAGGAGCCAGCCTCTCGGGAGCCGACGCTGACCTCTCCGAGCTCGGCTCAGAACCGTCCGAGCTCGGCTCAGACTCCAACTGCTCCAACTCTGACTCTTCAGGGTCGGAGTCTGACTCCGGTTCTGGCTCGCTCGATGCAAGGCAGATGTAGTGGAGCACTGCACATGCCGAAATAATGGCGGTGGCTGTTGAAGGGTGGTAATACAGAGCCCGGTGCCTTTGCAGACACCGGAATCTGTTTTTCAACAGCCCGATGCAGCGCTCCACAACAGACCTGATCGAGGAATGCGAATTATTAAACCGGCCGCAAGCGGTGGAGGTCGCATAGTTCCCGGGGACAGGGGTGATGAGCCAAGGCTCCAAGGGGTAGCCGCTGTCACCTGCACATGTAGAGGATGGACCATATTACATTCTTTACTTTTTAAAATAAAAGGCAAAAAAACAGCTGTGTGCAACTATGTCAATTATAATGTAACTTAAGTGTGACTTAAAAGTGTGTTAATATTTCTGCACTACAGTATCAGTTTACATTATGATTAATTAGCACCAGCTTGCCTGCAAACTCCCTGTTATTTCATGTAACTATGTGTTTTCCTGGTGGGTTGTATGGGATGTGTGCACGATTCCTTAGGGGTGCTGTGTTGTATGCAAGTGCATTATTAGGCCCTTGCATCCGACAGATAAAAGCTCTGTTGCTTTTGGGAGTGTGGCCGTGACCTTAGGCACGGGCAGAGCAGAACACGCTGGCCTTGTCTTTGGCAAGCAAGGGGATAAGGCGCCAGTTCGACGAACCTCTTTCCTAATCCTCGGTGGAGTTGGAGATGGGGAAAAGAGAGGGGGTGGTTAGATTGGAAAGGAGTCAGGTCCTGTTGGGACACGGAGGGTCTAATAGGAAGAGCTATATAGGCAGACCGAAGAAGAAGGGTCAGGGAAAAGAATCCAGTGTGTGGGACAGAGACGACCCGAGGACAGATTTGGCGAGCCCCAAGTGGCCAAGGAGGAATTGATCCCATTCCGTATAAACTGACGACCGTCAAAGCGACCAGGCGAGCCCTCAGGGATCGGCGAAAGAGCTCCAACTTCATGCAAAAACCAACCAGCAAGAGGGTACAGGCAGACAGTAACAGTGAGTGGGCCGAACCGGACAACGACTCGCACTGCGGTTGCATGCCTTGCATAGTCTATCACTGTCGTGAGATTGGTCTAGTGTGGCTTTCGTAGCCTGCAGAGTGTGAGAGTTATGTGGACATAAACAGAGATTAATGGCCAAACTTTGGGTGTTGTCTCACTTCAAGGAGTTCCAGCAACTGTGTCTGTGTGCCTCACAACAAGCACAGTACGTGTGGTACTGTGGCTTTCAAGCAGTGGGAGCCACCGTGTGCGTAAGGAATGAATTTAGTATGCTCACCAAGCAGGAACCGGCCGTCGCGTGGCACCTGCCCTTGCTCGAGTTGGTTTCGGAGCCAGGAAAATTGCCACACGAAGGAGTCGTGCACCGACCCGGGATACCGTGGGTCGATGCACATTATCCGGCAGTCGGCGTCACACACCTGAAAGTGAGAGAGATATTGACATGTAATTACCTGAATCCACAAGTAGTAGATTGTACTTATGGTTCACAAAACAGTCGCAATTTCAGAACCTTTTAAGTTATTTTGTCTGACACATGCATCTCAACACACCTTCCTGGATGCAAGGTACAACTAACTACCTTAAAACAAAAATAATGTTTTTTTTTTTTTTTTTTTTTTTTTACGGAAGCTTG